GGTTTGCAGCAGATCTCTTCAGATCTCTCGGCCCTGCATTGTATAGGAACGCTTAAGCAAGATGGAGGCTTTGTTTTGGATTTGCATGGTTCTGCTTTTGTTCCCTGAAGATGGGAAGCTCTTGAGTGGGTGGCGCAGACCGGTCCTGTCTGCCTCCTGCAGCCGGGACTGGCATCGTCGCGTTCTTGCAAAAGCGTCCGTCTTCCTTTGCAGGAGCTGACCTTACAGATGAATTTACTGGAGCTGATTCGGAAGCTACAACAGAAGGAATCCGAGTCCGAGAAGGCTTTTTCCTGAACGAGCAAACCCGCTGTTTACTTCCCAGAGTTTTCTTCTGACTTCCCTCTAGAGAAGAGAGTATTAATGTGCTTTATGTGGTGTCTGGGAGAGGAGGAACAGCTGAGGCCCTTAGGTAACCGCGGAGCTGGGGCAGGCCCAGCCCCAGCGCAGGGGGCAGGATGGGGAGCACCACTCTGCCTCTGCGGTCCTTGGAGCAACATGCTCGGGTGGGGGACGAGGGAGGGTGTTGATCTGCCATGCACAGCCCCCGGCGTCGCTGAAGCCAAGGGAGATGGGGCCAGGCACCAAGGCAGCAAACCCAGCCCAGCCCTTATATGAGTGACCCCTGTGTTTGGGTGAATTGAGCTGAACGGGTGAGCAATGCCATCTCCCCGTTGCGATCTCCCCGTTGCGATCTCCCCTTCCAATGCAAGGAGGAGGAGGAGCAAGTGTCTCTGCTAGGGAATGGGAGAGGCGAGTAGCTGCCGTATCGGACAAGGAAGCAAAGCAGACTCGGCATCTGGTGCCGCCTCACCATGGCAGATGGTCGGCAGCTGGGGAGAAAAAAGTCCAAGGTTCGGTTTCCAAGAAGGCGCTTCTGTGTGCGTTGAGGCAGAAGCAGCCTCTTCAGTAGACAGAGCCTTCCTGGAGAGGCTTCCAGGCAGATCCAGCACGGGCTTCCTTGGAGGCGGACTCCAGGCCTCTGCACTGGCGTTGCTGGGCTGTGGCGTTCACAGTGTTCCCACCCGACTCAGATGGCAGAGGTGGCTTGAGAGCTTTTGCTTTGTTACTTTAAGCCAGTTTCCAAATGGAGAGAAATAAAATATTCTGTCCTGCCTTCTGGGGCTACAGCTTTCTAAAGGTCAATGGTTGCAATTACGTTTGTCCCATCCCTGCTTGATGAGCATGGGGCTTGGGGAGTGCCAGATTAAAGCCAAGGGGGGAATCATGAGTCTTCCTGAGACCTTTCAGGGCTGAGCTGATGGCCCCGGGGGCCTGAGGCACATCCCCAGGACTCAGTGCGCACAAGGACTTGGGGCACTTGCTGAAAACTTGGTAAAATTGGCTTCAGGCGTGTAAGAAACACTGTGCCCCCAGGAATGGGATGGTGCAGGGGAGAGCTGGACACCAGTTCTGCTCCTCAGGAGTGAAGTTCACGTCAGGGAAGCTGTTGGGGGTGGCTCAAAGACTTGGGCTGTTGTGTGTTGAAGGGCTTTGGTCACACCCGGGTCCCTGTTGAAAGGTGTTTGGCATTCCCAGAGCAAGGCTTCTAGGTGGGAGACCTCTCCTTTGCATTGCTGTTTGCTCTTGCCTGCATCCTCCTGCTCTTACTGCAGCGTTATCTCATTTCATGTTATCTCGTTTTACGTTATCTCATTTTGCAGCGGAAGGCACTGTGAGAAGATTGGGTGTACTGTTAATTACTGAGGTTGGGAAATGGGTCAGTCCTTAGGTTCACATGAAAGCAGATCAGAGAGCAAGGAAGCAGCTCTGCTGAGAGGGACCTGGGAGTCCTGGTGGACGACAATCTGACCAAGAGCCAGCTGGGTGCCCTTGTTGCCAAGAAAGCCAACGGCATCCTGGGGTGCATTCGGAGGAGCGTGGCCAGCAGGAAGAGGGAGGTTCTCTTCCCCCTCTGCTCTGCCCTGGTGAGACCCGACCTGGAGCACTGCATCCAGTTCTGGGCTCCCCAGTTCAAGAAGGATGAGGAGCTACTGGAGAGGGTCCAGAGGAGGGCAACAAAGATGATGAGGGGACTGGAGCATCTCCCCTATGAGGAAAGGCTGAGGGAGCTGGGCTTGTTTAGCCTGGAGAAGGCTGAGAGAGGATCTCATTAACACATACAAATATCTTCAGGGTGGGTGTCACGAGGATGGAGCCAGACTCTTTCTCAGTGGTGCCCAGCACCAGGACAAGGGGCAATGGGCACAAACTGAAGCAGAAAAGGTTCCAGTTGAATGTGAGGAAGAACTTCTTGACTTTGAGGGTGCCCGAGCCCTGGCCCAGGCTGCCCAGGGGGGCTGTGGAGTCTCCTCTGGAGATATTCAACCCCCGCCTGGACAATGTCCTGTGCACCCTGCTCTGTGTGAGCCTGCTTGAGCAGGGGGGTGGGACTGGGTGA